GGGTTTTACAATTTCTTTAACTAGGCCCATTCTTAATTATTCGCCCCTAGGCCTTCTAACATGCAGGACCGCCCCTGACCGGAACTAAAGTGGTTCATCCCTACTGAAGGTGGATTTGGATTCTCTGCCTTAAGACAGAGTGCCTTACGACAATGGGCAGTGATATCACCCAGAGCCTTGAGATATGTGAACAAAAGAGAGAATTTAGAGAAATATTAACTTGTGTTCATTCCCATTTGCAAATGGGCAGTGATATCACCCAGGGCAGAGTGCCTTACGGCAATTTCATAGGTAATAATACCATTTGCAAATAAATCTTAATATCAAAACTCCTAAACTTTGTTATACATATAAAAAGAGAGAAATATTTTTACCTATGAAAATTTGAGTTCCTACTTTTTCAAATAAATTATGGCCTAAGGTGGCTCAAGACCGAATTGCTTCTACGAAGGCACCACCTTGAGTGGATCAGGAGCCTCTGCTTTACTTTGGCAGTGGAGAGTGCTTGACCATATTCAACCCTCAGATGAAAACATTAAGGGTAAAAGATGAAAGGATCCATTTTGTTCACATATCTCAAGGCCCTAGGTGATTTTACTGCTCATTGCTGTAAGGCACTCTGCCTTAAGACAAAGAATCCAAATCCACTTGAGTAGGGATGAACCACTTTAGTTCCGGTTCTTGATCTACCAGTTCTAAAATAAGTGTCTCATTTCCTTTTTTGAAATAAATATGTGGTCTACACCATTTCACTTTATTATATTCATTCAAACATAAACCACAACTTTTACTTTTGCAACCACATCATTAATAATCGTGTCAAGTCAAACTAGGCCATACAAAATGAGACAGAGGTAGTAGTTTTTAGGTGAAAAACTACTTTGACCGAGTAGGATTGGCATCAAATCGGTTTTGATATACCCATGCATTTATGAAGTTCTTCCCGTTTGATTTCAAGTTCTTTTAAACATATTATTATAAATACAAAAAGCTGTTATTATAGATACTAGTAATCGAGTATATATACCTTCTTATGGTACAAAAACTAGTCACATGATGTCTTCCTAGTCAAGACTCAAGACTATGGAGAATGCAAATCTCCCTTTATTGGTGTGGATGCAATGCAAAGAAGAGAATGAAAGTGTAATTCAAAACTTTACCTCAAGACTATGGAGAATGAATCCCCCTTTACTGGTGTGGATGCAATGCAAAGAAGATAATGAAAGTGTAATTCAAAACTTTACCTTTGCAAGGATTTGAACCCAATTAGATAAAAATATTCATCATTTCTTTTACCATCTACTCCCACCCAACAGAGACTTATTTCCATTCTAGAATACACAGATTACATTGCACTAGACTAAAACAGATCAAATATGAGCGAGTTTTTAACATACATGATCAAACATGAAAAGAAGGTTAAAATAGACTTATCACAATTAAATAAACCCGATAATATACCTTACTAAACAAGAATAACCAAATTAATTTAGACCAAACTTGATTTGAAAATTTCAATTTAAGCGAAAAGTTCTTTACAAAAATAAATTGCTAAAACAATACATAAGCGAAAAGTGATTTTAGATTTCATGTTTATTGGTCAACACAATTCCACTTCATTATCTAATTTTGAATATCTAACTCATAGATTTATGCTTTTGATAACATCGCTACTGATGGAGGCTAGCGATTCGAGCTGTAGCGATGAGGATCCTTCAAACCCTAGCAGCGGCGCGATGCAGAGGCGGCGCGATGCAGAGGCGGCGCAAGGCATAATCGATGACCGAGCAAGGCGTAAGAAGGTGAGGCGGTGTGGTATACCCTCACGGCAGGTCATGAAAGCTCTGCTTTATTGGTAATTTTTCAAAGTCTTCTCCCTTTCCGAACGTTTTTGTTCCGAGTTGTTTGTCTGGCTGGTTCTGGCCGAGAATTGTGGTGTGGTTTGTGTTCTATTTTGGCTATTCCATTGAATTTCGTGGTTGCAGCAACTGTGTTTGTGTGTAATAATTTCAGTTTTGTTGATCGGTGTTTTTTCGATTGGGATAAAATGGATATGATCTCGAGGAATGTTAAGATGTTATCAATTGCTGAGGAAGAAAACAGGGGGCTGGTGATTGCGGCTGACCCGTTGGAAATTGGGGGTGGAGAAACATAGGTATATAATCTAGCGGCGGCGGCTCGAGTGGTGTCTGATAAACCTGTTCGTGCTGTATCTTTCTGTCAAACAATGACTATGGTCTGGAGGCCAGTGAAAGGAGTCTCTATTGATGAGATTGAGGACTCAAAATTTCTGTTACAATTCTATCATGAAGGAGACCTGAGTAGAGTTGTGGAGGAAGGGCCATGGTCTTTCGAGCAGAATTTGGTGGTTATTAAACGATTGGAGCGTACTAATAAGACTCTAGAGGTTGCATTGGACCATGCAGATTTCTGGGTCCAAGTACATGATCTACCGCTAAGTTATATGACGGCAAAGGCTGCACGTGGCATAGGCAACAATATTGGCTCTTTTGTACAACTGGATGAGAGCTATCCTAGCGGGAAACAACGGCTGGTTATGCGCATTAGGGTCACTTTGAATATTAAAGTGTCGTTAACTCGACGTCTGCAGGTTAGACAGGAGGGAGATGGTTGGACTTGGACAAACTTTAAATATGAGAGGCTTCCGAACTTCTGTTTCTTGTGTGGGATTCTTGGTCATGCTGACCGCTTTTGCCCCTCCAATCCGCATAGTGGCTTGGGATATGAGGCGTGGAGGTGTACACCCGGGGAACAGATGGCTTATTCCTAGCAACAACAAACCGGACAATAGACAAGGACAAATGGCAGGTTCTGATACAGAGACGGAGGCACAGAAGACATATCTGGTGGAAGGACTTTTATCAAAGGGAAAAGAGATTGTTACAACGGGGGATACGTCCACGAAGCGTAGGATTACTGAGAAGGAAAGCAAGGTGGAGACGCGGGTGGGTATGGACGTTGATGCATCGTCTCCAAAAAACTTGGAAGTGGCAGTGCTGCCTGGACAACACCGCCAGTAGCGGGAAGAGGCGAGAATGTGATGGTTGTCCCTTCAGCGGGGGCTGGTCAAGCCGCTACTCCCTTGCCAGGGGCTGGTCAAACTGGCTTATGTTTTTTTCTTGTTTTTTCATTAGCTCCGAACTCTGTTTTATTTTTTCACTCTCATTCTAGTAGCAAGAACAACGTTGTTGTGGTTAGAGTCTACCACGTTGCGGGATTAGCGAGATGGGCCGCTAGTAAGCGTGACTCCAACTCTGAGTCTCATCCCAGTGGAGCCTTTGTTATGGCGATATTGTATCCGGTTCTCAGCTTTATTAATATTTAAATTATCTGTTTTTTTTTTTTTGCAGAAAGAAAATTATCTGTTTTTAAAAAAAAAAAACTCATAGATTTATTTTGTTTGCGGATCATAGAACATTTGACCTTTGACCTTGTTATGCAAATTGTCCAAAACATTGGTGGGTTTGGAATGTAAAGCTCAAATCGGATGGGTGAGATTGGTTTGAATCCGAATTTGCTGTTTGGCGTGGCTGATTTTTCTTACCTGTAATTTAACCTTTAGTCTGTACTCCCTATTACACCACTTGATTTGGCATAATTCTCGGTAAAGCTTAACTTATCGATCTCAAAACCAGGGCACCCCCGATTATTAAAGTTCACCGCAATTATGATAAGTAAATAATACTCCCTCCGTCCCCTTTTAAATGTCCCGTTTTACCATATTGGGATGTCCCTATTTAATTGCCTCATACCTTATTTTATAAACTTTGTGTGGCTCAAAATCATTCTTACTTTATTCTTACTTTATCAATTAATAGCAACCACACAATATCACTTTTCTTAAAACCCGTGCCACCATCTCCCGTCCCATTTAAAAGGGGACGGAGGGAGTAAATAAATGCAATTATTATGGTACTAATTATGATCACTCCGTCATAAAAAAATTGCTTGAATTGCTAATTTAAGTGCCCATGATATTAAAAACTGGCTAAATTTACATATTCCTCTAAAATTTATGAAATTGCGATGTAAGTAACTAGATTGACTGATTCTGTCAAGTATTCAAGTTATGAAAAATTATATTTAAAATATAAGTTACTAATAAAATTAAGAAAAAATTATATGAAAAATAGCACAAATGATCATCTATAAATCTACAATAATTTCAATTAAAAAATAACTTCAACTTTAATGACTTTTCATTTATCACACAATTCCTTCTCAAATATCTGGGCTAGAGCTCTGCTCCTTATCTATAATTATTAAAATTCAATTTGCATTCTCTAAGTAAACTGTCCGACCAGTACTGAGAACTCTCGGGGATAAGATGTCATCCTTTTTTTAGGATGTTTTTACTTGGATTGTTTTCAATCCCAAATCATATCAGCTCAGACTTAAACAGATCAGACTAGACCAGACCAGACTTCCATATTTATAAAATACACCGAGACCATATATTTACCAGACCAGATGAGACTTAAACAAACTAGACTAGACTAGATCATTAAATTTCAATCCAAATAAAAACATCCCTATTACATTAATTTCAATCAAGAAAATAACTTCAACCTTAATAATTTTCATTATCACACAATTCCTTCTCAAATATCTGAGCCAGAGCTCTACTCCTTATCTATTAGCTTGTAATTAAAATTCAATTTACATTCTTTTAGTTAACTGTCCGACCAGTATTGTGAACACTCGGGGATAAGATGTCATCCTTTTTTAAGATGTTTTTACTTGGAATGTTTTCAGTCCCAAATCATACCAGACCAGACTTAAATAGATCAAAATAAATCAGACCAGATTTTCAAATTTATAAAATACAAATAGACCAGAAATTTATACACGCTACTCAAACAAAATAAATCAAACTAAATCGATAAATTTCAATCCAATGTAAAAAATCCTTATCATACGTGAAATAAAGCGTTTCATATTAGAGAAGTTGATTAATAAGAGTCATAAACTAAAAAATAATGACTCAAAACAATATCCTTTCTAGGAAAGCGAAATGAAGTAGATGAAGGGTAATATTGACTTTTTAAACTGAGCTTAGTGCTTTAAAAATCTCTCCTCACGGTCCTCATTTCCCTGCGTTGCACTTCTCCCCCTCTTTCTCTTCTTCGATTCTTCTTTCCAGCCCCGCCATTTTCACCGACGAACCAGCGAGTCGTTATGGATCCAGTCTCGGAATGGGGAAATACGTCGCTCTCCGAAATGGACCCGGAGATCCACGATCTCATCGAGAAGGAGAAGCGCCGCCAGTGCCGGGGTATCGAGCTGATCGCCTCCGAGAACTTCACCTCCTTCGCCGTCATAGAGGCCCTCGGCAGCGCCCTCACTAACAAATACTCTGAGGGCATGCCCGGGAACCGCTACTACGGTGGAAACGAGTACATCGACCAAATCGAGAACCTGACCCGCAGCCGCGCTCTCCAGGTGTACCGCCTCGACCCCGCCAAGTGGGGCGTCAACGTGCAGCCTTACTCCGGCAGTCCTGCCAACTTTGCCGCTTACACGGCTGTCCTCAATCCCCATGATCGGATCATGGGGTTGGATTTGCCATCTGGTGGCCATTTGACCCATGGCTATTACACCGCTGGGGGGAAGAAGATCTCGGCCACCTCGATTTACTTCGAGAGCTTGCCGTACAAGGTTAGTTCAAGCACAGGTTATATCGATTACGATAAATTGGAGGAGAAGGCTTTGGATTTCAGGCCGAAGTTGATCATTTGCGGTGGCAGTGCCTACCCAAGAGATTGGGACTACAAGAGATTCAGAGAGGTAGCTGACAAATGTGGCGCTCTTTTGCTCTGCGATATGGCTCACATTAGTGGCCTTGTTGCTGCTCAGGTACCAAGCTTTCAACACATGCACGCGTAATTTTTCTGTTGATTTGATTTGCATGTTTATTCGATGAGAGGATTTGTATTTATAACCCTTCAATCGTAGATCTGCATTTGATCTAGGTTTTTGTTTTAAATTTCGGATGTGTGATTTTCATATAAATTGTTGATCTCCTTTGTTGCATGACTACACCGTGATCCGCTCATTTACCTTCATTTTCCCCTAATTATGGCAACAATTTTGTGTTTGGTAAAAAACGATTTGATATCAGATCGGTGCAAGAGGTAAGGAATTACATTTTCTATGCAGTAACTCATATTCATCACATTTCTGTAGAAAGTTCAATATTTTGAGGTCTCCCTCATTTATATGCGAACTAATCGTATTCTCTAAGATATGGGAGAAAATTCAAAAAATATACAACATTCCAAACATGTTAAAACACCTGGTGAAATGGAAAGTATAGAACATAGCCATGAAAATACGAGTCACTACAATGAAAAATTGAACTATGACTGTATTGACTTGCTAATAACTAAGTCTCTTTTTGTGTAATATGTCTATTTCGAAATGTAGTTTATATTCGAAAAGTTTCCTGATATATACATATATCAAATTGTCTACCTAGTTTTACATTTAGCCCTCGTTTGGTTTTCAGCGGTTTGATACCAAATCGCAGCTAAATGCAGCGTTTGCAAGTATAAAACAATTGGCGGTTTGCTGAAAACGCTATTAACCAAACGGGTCCTTAGTTTCTGTGTGACAGTAGTGTTGTGTGTATACTTGAGTCTTGGATAGTAGTCACTTCCTTTTATCTGTTCTGTAAAGAGACATAAACATCATTGAAACTTGAAGTTATCATTGTGGGTGTGCAGGAAGCTGCTGATCCTTTTGAGTACTGTGACCTGGTCACTACCACAACCCATAAAAGCTTGAGAGGTCCAAGGGCAGGCATGATCTTTTATCGGAAGGGACCCAAGCCACCAAAGAAGGGACAACCAGAGGATGCAGTGTATGACTTTGAAGACAAGATAAACTTTGCTGTTTTCCCTTCATTGCAAGGCGGTCCCCACAACCACCAAATCGGTGCTTTGGCTGTTGCCCTCAAACAGGCAATGACCCCTGGCTTTAAGGCTTATGCTAAACAAGTCAGAGCTAATGCGGTCGCGATTGGGAACTATTTGATGAGCAAAGGATACAAGCTAGTCACTGCTGGAACTGAGAACCACCTTGTTCTATGGGACCTTCGCCCTCTCGGTTTGACCGGTAATAGAATTTTCTGATCAATCTCTTTGTGTTTTGGGCATTTTTGGAATGATCAATCAAATAATTCTCATTCATTTGTTCTTGTTTCTGTTTTTAGGTAACAAGGTTGAAAAACTGTGTGACTTGTGCAACATTACTGTTAACAAGAATGCTGTTTTTGGAGACAGTAGTGCTCTTGCCCCCGGAGGAGTTCGTGTTGGTAAGATTAAGACTTCATCTGGATAGAGTGAACTATTTAAACTCGCGGTATTAAAGTTATCTGAGATTCTGAGGTTTGTAAAAACTGGTTGAACATAAGTGATTCCAGTAAACAAAAGTATCTTTTGGATAGTTGCTAGGTCAATCTAGGTGTGCATAAAGTTTTGTTTGGATTGAGGTGAACCTATACATAAAAAAATACCCTTGAGGAGAACTTAACTTGAGAAAATCTCCAATTTGGAGGTTATTGAAGGTGACCTTGGTTTGCAAACCTACGTAACTAGGTTGTTTACATAAAAGAGTAAACAAACTGAGATGAACTAAGAATTAAAGCTGGAAGCACTAGGTTCAACTCAAAACAACAGGTATCACCATGTAGTATGACAATTCAGGCAATCGAATTGCGCCTAATAAAGGCATAAATTTGCGTTGTTGTGACTTTTTTAAGCACCCGGTGTTTTAATCTACATTGGGAGCGATTAGTATCATAAATACTCAAAGAAACTTTTCTTTTTCATAATCACAACTGGCCCTGAATCAGAACACCATTTTCTTTCTTGCACCCTTTTTTTTATGAAAAATATATGTAGTGAATGAGAATATTTGTGGGCAGGTACCCCTGCCATGACATCGAGGGGCTTGGTTGAGAAGGACTTTGAGGAGATTGGTGAATTCCTACACAGGGCCGTGACCATCACACTGAATGTCCAAAAAGAGCATGGGAAACTCTTGAAGGACTTCAACAAGGGCCTGGTTAACAACAATGAAATTGAACAGCTCAAGGCTGATGTCGAGAAGTTTTCATCCTCGTTTGACATGCCTGGCTTCAAAATGTCTGATATGAAGTACAAGGACTAAGTGAAACCTTCCTTTTTCGCTCACCACAATTTGCTATGCACTCTTCATTAAAAATTCCCATTTGTTTTGGCTTATAGTTCAATGCGTGAAAAAATAATGGTCCGTTTTTGTATCTTTTTCAATTGGTGATTTAGATCAGTTTTTTATATATCTGCGCTGAGATGTAGCTGCTCAAAAGTTTACAAAACTTAAGGTGAGTTCCATCTCATGGTTTTGTAAATTTCACTCATATCATTGTGTTTTTCTAAGCTCTTTCACAATATCAAGTGTGTTCTAAGCAATGTCGGTACTTGCTTTTTATCAACAATGTCGGTACTTGCTTTTTATCAACAATGTCGGTTACCTATATTAGAATAGTAGTGAAGGTGGAGGCAAATTTGACTTCCTAAAGTAGTACGCAATAAAAAAACCGGCAAAGTATGTATAGCTTTTGTGACTACGGGTGAGCACAGGTGGGGGTAGACCGGACTGGTTTAGTGGTTAGGATCCCTTATCGGCCGTTTCCCGATCCTCTATTCACCTTTGTAAATTTGTAATGGTATCCGTTGCTGAAACTTCGCCTTTTTGTGCACTTCTCTCTTCTTATGGATAAGATCTCGTTACATAGGCAATTAGGAAATAATTATGTTTATGTTGACGTAAGAGTAAGACAAAGAATACGGAAAAAGCAATCAAAATGGAATTAAAAAAATTTAATAATAAAGGAGTAATTGGTTTATAACAATAACAATTACCGTCGCCGTTCGAAGTTGGCTTCCTGATGTGGATTTGGTCGCCACTTGATACTTGATATAGTGTTTCCTGCAAACTCGTATGCTCTGTGTGCAGAAATCTCACCATCGTCATGGTTATATATGTATCTGTATTTATGCAGCTGTGTTGAAGCAAGTCATCGAACTACCACCATCACTGGAGTTGCAGTTCATGGACGACGTCAGGGGTGTGCTGATGGCCAACGCCCAGCGGTTGTGGGCGGTTAAACAGAGTGCATGATGCACTTGTGATGTTGTAGCAAACTAGGGGCAGAAATGATGCTATTATACAAGAGAAAAAAGGGAAAATAAAAAAGCAAAAGAGAAAAAGAAAATAATGGTCAGCTAAGTCAGCTGCTACCGTATAAACAATACTCAGCCAGCTGAATAGAAGAACTGGACGTTATATAGTTCCAGTACTTGGATATAGTATGAGGGCTTACTTGATAATGTTCTTTCATTTTTATCATTCCACACAGCTAGTGAGTATATGAGGGTCCCTGATAGAAGCAGAAAAAGAAACCCTAGCAGACGGTGTTAATGACTGCCCAGCCTTAGGCTCAAACCAAATCTTTATTCTCGATAATGAATAATAGTTCACAAGACCTCTTTAAATACTCCTTAACCTAATAATAAAATATGGCCATCTAGGCCCATTAACCTAATAATAAAATATGACCATATAGGCCCAACAGTTTATTAGACATAACAATAGACTGAAATAAAGTAATGAAACCCAACAGTCAACCCAGCCCAATTAGGTCCACTGACAGTAACCCATAAACTAATAATGGGCGAGGCCCGTCCTCCTGAAGCATTGGCCCGTTTGCCTCCTAGAGCCTCGACCCATCTGCCTCCCACTCCCTAACAATTTCCTCCCCCTCCAAAACAACCTTGTCCCCAAGGTTGGAGTGAAGAAGCTGCTGCTTGTTTCTCCTTCTGTTCCCCTAGCTGCTCAACCTCTTCGGGCGGGATAAAAGATTCAGTTTGATTGAGGTCGAGTTCCTCATCTTCCTCGACAACCATTACTCTTAACTGTTTTAGGGGACATTCATGCCTGGGGGTATATGGCTTCTTGCAACGGAAACAAAGCCCTTTTGCACGTAGGTCTGCAAATTCCTGCGGTGAGAGGCGTGTGAACCGAGAGCGATTCTCCGACTGGCCAGTCATGGCTGACCCGGACCCCGAGGTACTACCTGGAGATCGCGAGGAAGTTGTGCTTCCTGCTGCCCCTTGGTTTCCAGTAACTGGCGTGGAAGAGAGCCCCGAAAACCCGCCAACTTTGGTGTAATTACTGGAACGGCACTGCTGATTGTCGTATCCCCATTCTGATCTCCCTCCGGACTGTACGGCCAAGTCTTCTTCGATATCTCTTGCTAACTCCATAGCATCTTCCAAATCAGTTGGGCGTAGGGTCCGTAAGGAACTGCGAATGGTGTCCCGTAGCCCTTTCATAAAGTACCCCAAGTAGTGGGCATCACTCAAACCTGGGGCCTGACTGGCTAATTGCACGAACAAATTTACATAGTCATCCATGGATCTTGTCTGCTTAACGTCAGCCAACCGTTCGAACGTGCTCCCTTTGAACCGAGTATCAAAACGGGCTAAAAGGGCTTGTGAAAACTCCTCCCAAGCTATGCCTGGTTTCCGCGACCGTGTCCAAGAAAACCAGTACAAAGCAGGACCCTCCATTGCTACCATGGCTGACGCCACCTTCAACTCAGGTCGGGTCTGATGTATTTCAAATTGCTGATTGGCCCTGGCAAGCCATCCAATCGGATCTGCCCCCTCAAACGCCGATAGCGTCAAAGGCGCGGTCACAGACCTAGGGTTGTGGGAGTTCTGCGAGTCAGCCGTGCCTCCTCCTCCTTCTGACTCAGAATCAGCCAGCGTTCCCCCCGACGCCATAACCTTCTGCGCCAGTTTGTCTAGGGTTTGTGTGATAGCATCCAACTTGGCATTGGTGGATTGCAATTCTGCCCTGATGTCCTTCTGGTCTGCTTCTATCACATCTATGCATTGATCAATGGTGGAACGAGTCATGATGAACGTAGGGCGGTGGATAGGATCCGGCAGGTCGGACCAAATTGATAGAAGCAGAAAAAGAAACCCTAGCAGACGGTGTTAACGACTGCCCAGCCTTAGGCTCAAACCAAATCTTTATTCTTGATAATGAATAATAGTTCACAAGACCTCCTTAAATACTCCTTAACCTAATACTCCCTCCGTCCCCCTAAGTTTGTCCCGTTTTACCTTTTTCGTTTGTCCCACTAAGTTTGTCCCATACCATATTTGGTAACATTTGAGTGGTTAGAATTCATTCTTACTTTATTTACACTTTATCAATTCAATATCAACCACACAATTCCACTTTTTCTTAAAAACCACACCACACCCCTCCGTCCCAAACTTAGGGGGACGGAGGGAGTAATAAAATATGGCCATCTAGGCCCATTAACCTAATAATAAAATATGACCATATAGGCCCAACAGTTTATTAGACATAACAATAGACTGAAATAAAGTAATGAAACCCAGCAGTTAACCCAGCCCAATTAGGTCCACTGACAGTAACCCATAAACTAATAATGGGCGAGGCCCGTCCTCCTGAAGCATTGGCCGTTTGCCTCCTAGAGCCTCGGCCCATCTGCCTCCCACTCCCTAACAGTCCCATTGGTTTCTTGAGGTAGACAAAGGTATACAACTACAATTGTGTAATACATATTATGTAGTATGACACTCTTATTATATATTACTCCATATATGCTGGTGTGTGAAAAATGAACAACAAGACCGTATTGAACGATTCTGATCTCTTATAGTCGGAAACAGTATTGGTCTGGTTTTGGATTCTTGTCCTCAATATTCAGTTTTGGTATAAATTCATTGATTCCACTCTGGTCTGGTCCAGAATTCAAACTGTGTCTACTCCTTAATACACTGTTAGGGACCTACATAGAATAATAAGGGACCTACATAGAATAATTAGAAATAAGAAGAGTATTAGAATTAGTATAAATAGAGGTGGAGGGTAGAATAGAAAGGAGGTTGGAATTACAAAAATGCTATTGTTACACACTTTTCGTACACACTTATACACACTCGTGTCTGTGAAGAGTTATTTTTTGTCTGTATACAGACATAATGTATTCTCAAATACGTAATGTCTGTATACAAACAAAAAATAATTCTTCACAAACACGAGTGTGTATAAGTGTGTATGAAAAGTGTGTATAAGTGTGGTTGTTGGAATTATTGGGACTGGGACTTGGGAATTTGTATTGTTCTCTATCTCTCTCGTTTCTGTATACAACACTTTCAATTCATACACCATTTATCTTCTTCATCTTGTTTAGTGAATTCAATCTGAAATTAGCTAGTTCCTAACATTGGTATCAGAGCACGATGGAAGTAAGATTGGAGAACGTGGAGCGCGAGTTGACGAGGCGGTACGGAAACATGACGCAAAATTTTGAGAGTTATCGCGAGGAGATGCAGAACTATCGGAATGAAAGGCTGAAAGAGTTGGCGGAATTGCGCGAATTGATCTTGCAGATGAACGATCAACATGAAAGAAGGAAATCAAGATCTTCAAGGCGGTACACTGTACATGAGAGTCCTACACCGTCTGAGGCCAGAGGTAAGTCGAGAACTTCGTATCACAATTCGAAATCGCGAACCATTTTTGTGAGTTCGCAGGATAGGTCGCAAACTTCTTCTCGCAATCCGTCAGCATCATCGCGAGCACAAGAGCCCAGTTCGCGTTTGCGAACAGTTCCTTCCAGTTCGCAGATGCGAACAGTTCCACTCAATTCGCAATTTGAAGTTGATGTTCCTAGTTCGCAGTCGCGGACCTTTTATTTCAAATCGCAAGTGTCGGCTCCAAAGGATTTACACAGTTCGCAGATCGCTTTTCAACATTCGCAGAGCTCTTCGACTTTGCAGAATTCGTTGCTACTTGCTTCGCTGGGTTCGCAAGCTTCGTCTCAGACGCTAACTATTTCTACGAGTTCGCAATTACTAACAGAGCATCATCACTCGTCATCTCAAGTTTCTACTCTGGATATTTCATTGACTACACCAAATTTTGAATGGAATCCAGCTGAACCCTCAGTTTCAGAATCAGATTCAGACGAGGATAGTAATCAATCGACAGGATATTCACCAGATATTCTGGAAGAACCCGAACAGTTCAAACTAGATATTCCTTACATTCAGGAAGAAAATTGTACATACCAAACTGATCCTAACTTGGAGCTGAACAACAATATCACAGGTAATGATGTGGAGAACCTGTCTCACCTACGAATCCATACCTATGACTTTGGGAGGTATGTATCTGCAATAGACCGAAATTCAGAATACTTTAAATTCTTGTGGGGTAGAGTTCAACAACATGAGGTGAGGGTTATAGGGGATATTGTGCTCCTTCATTCGTCAGAAAGAATTTTGGAAGGGCTGAATAAGTTGGATGGCTCCAGAATTGATGGTGAAATTTCTGGGAAGTATGTCCAGAATGGGCTAGGAGTAGGAATTATTGGGAATTGGAGGGAAAAGGTTGACTATGATACTGACGATAATGATAGTGTTGAAGTGTCTGTAAGGATTAACAATGATATCAATTCTGCTATCTTCCAAGAGGCCTTGATAATTGGGGAAAATGCAATAAGAATGCCAAAAGTGGGTTTAATCATTCAAGGAGGGGTAGGTCTGGATTATGGGTTTCATATGGCTATTCACTGGTATGAGAATCTTTACTTCCCATTATTGGTGATCACACAGAAGAGAGTGAGAAGTATCAGACTGCTGCCTGTTGACCTCAAGCTTAAAATGTAAGGAATTCCAAGGTTGAAATTGACATCTCACATATTATTCTTATCGGATTACCAACTTTGGTAATTTCCTATTCTGTGGCTAGAAGACCATGTGTTGGATCCCTTGTACTTGTGAATGGTACTTACAGGGAATTTGATAACTCTTATTTTGATTCGTCCATTCTTCAGCATCAGCCACAAAGATTGAATAATTTTGGTTCTTTAAAAATGTTGACTATTGAGAGAGTCAGAGAGAGGCTGTTTTTAAAGTTTAGTCAATCATATGGGTGCTGGAATATTGTGCTGAAAACATGAGTTGCTATTCGTTAAAGGAGTTTGATGCGGTTAGCAATTTTAAGAATCATGGCGATGTTTTTGAACTTATTTCCGAATACCTGATGTGTGGAATCAGTGTGAATCTGGACCCTATTATTCATGCTGCTGTAATAGAGGTCTACCAGAAGGAACAACTCATGGACTTAACTGTGAAAACAGAAATTGGTAATGGAGTGGAGCTGAAGTAAAGTTTCAACCTTATAAAATGATCTTATGCTTCAATGATCCCAAAGTGAACTGTTCCAGTTGTGGAATTTTAAAGAAATCCGAGCTAAATGATGATGTTGGGAATATAGAAATGGAGCCTTACTTGCTTGGAAAAATCTTTCAGGCTTCTTTCTCCTCCCTTGAGCTAAGAGAGTTGGATGCAGATCCAATTAGGGAAGCAAAAAGAATTCAGGAATGTTTATCTCGGGGTTGTTTGGAACACAGTTCACGCGCATATCAGAATTGTTGAAAGCAAACAAGAGGAACAGTTTCCTCCTTGAAAATTATTTTGAGGCTCAAGAAGCAGAGGCTAGAGATATTGAAGGTGTAGAGCACATTCACATGGCCCCTATATCCATTTTCAGAAATGGTTGGAGGGGTATAATGGTGGTTGCTACTCATTTAGGTGGAATATATTTGATAGTGGGGGTTGTTTCAGATAGCATACAAAACTGTTCTCATCAGGAAGCATCATTTGTTCTTCCTGTAACTATGGATGGCCTGGCCCATGAGAATGACTCTGTAGAGGTTTTAGCAATTGGTGTTGGCCAGGTTCTAGTGAAACATAAGGGTATCATGCCCTTACCTGAGCTACTGGCTATAGAAAAAGTGATAACAATGATTCAGTTCATAAAGTTCAGAATCCTGAAATTTGGAAGATACTGGGAAGCTCGAGGCGCAAAGATGAGGAAGAAGCTGTTCGTCAGGACTGTCTCCTATGACCCACCTTGAGGACAAGGTGGTTGTCAAAGGGGGAGTAATGTTAGAGACCTACATAGAATAATAAGGGACCTACATAGAAAAATTAGAAACAAGAAGAGTATTAGAATTAGTATAAATAGAGGTGGAGGGTAGAATAGAAAAGAGGTTGGAATTATTGGGACTGGGACTTGGGAACATGTATTGTTCTCTTTCTCGTTTCTGTATACGACACTTTCAATTCATACACCATTTATCTTCTCCATCTTGTTCCTAACATACACATGAATCTTAGATATTATGTAAAAGAAATTCGTAATACCGGTCTAGTTTCAGATTGGGTAGAACTTTGTGGTCATGCGTGCAATTTGTGTCTCAATATCGTGGAAGGTTGGGTCCTTTTTAGTCGGAACACAACTTGTTCTTTTTTATCTTTATCCTGGACACAGCTAGATCTGTTTCCTTTATTTTACGTGTTGGAATACATTTTTAATTTTTTCATGAAAGTTGGGTCCTTTTTATTCTTATGATATAGAACTATAACATGTTTTGTTAAAATCCGCTTCTGCAATACACTATAGCAATACATGTGAACCTTTTGTATAGTCATTTTATAGGCATGTCAATATGTCATGTCTTCCAAATCATGTTGAGGACAAAATAGTATCCTCCGTATCGCATTAATTGCAATATTGCAATTTATACACTATTCATGTACTCTACTTTGAATACATTTTATTTATTAATATATATGAAATATTTTTTTGAAACATATTGTTGAATTTGTCTCATTACTAAGTTGCATAATCTGATTTTCAATTATTTTTTACTAATACAAAATTAAATATAATAATGATCAAAGTTATGCATTGACAAACGTGAAAAAGGGAATGTTGCAACTAAAAAAGAACGGATTAAGTATATCCGTGTGGTAAAAACCCATTACGAAATGTAAACAATGGCCAGTCATTTATGTGCACAAAGAGATGTCTCCAAGCAAATAACACGTACATACTTCGTATGTAACACAAACAGCAAATTAAACAACACAAACACCTATTTAGCGATATCAAACAAGCCATGGACACGAAACTACTTTTTCATTCTAACCATTCAAAGAAAATATTCGTACATTATATTACATACTGTATTTATCATTACACTTTTAGGGAAAAAGTGCAAATAGGCCCATGTACTAACAAAAAAAAAGGTCAAATAAGTCCTTATTTAGGAGACTCTGTCTGGACGTCGTCATTTGGGGTGGTTCCCGGTGGAATTTTTTGATGAAAGTTTATGAACATCTTATTCATTAAGTCTAGTTTACTCATACCGAATTTCAGCTAAAAATTTAATCGGAAAGACATTCAAATGAATTCTTGAAAATAACTGCTCAGTTAGAAGCGCAATTATCTTCAACAATTCATTTGAATGCCTTCCCGATTAAAGTTTTAGTTGAAATTTGGTATGAGTAAACTAGACTTGATGAATAAGATGCTAAAAAAATTTCATCAAAAAATTCCACAAGAAACCACCCCAAATGACGACTGCCACACAGAGTCTCCTAAATAAGGACTTATTTGACCTTTTTTTGGTTAGTATATGAGCCTATTTGCACCTTTTCCCTATTTTTTATTTGCAGCCAAGTTGATGCAAAGTATCTAAATGAATTGTGTCCTCCAAGTCTAGCACCTTTATTTTAGAAGTGAAGTGAGGAAATTCTAGAAGTAGATCTGGATATTATAAACTGTTCTTGCTCTCTATTTCAGCTAAACTCACTCTAGTACTTCTTAAGAGAACCAGCCCAATTAAGTTTGGACATTAGTGCTATTAATTTTGGGCTTAATAATTTCATTTGAACTTGATTACAATCACTTTTTATTTGTATAGGCTCACCTATAAACTTATAAATTAAGCACCTGATCAAATGAGCTTGTAAGCTAGGTTAAATCTCACGGCTATCATAACGGGCCAATGAAAAGAACGTACTTAGGGTGAGAAATAAAAATTGAGTGAATTAGCTTAATATGATTAAAACAAGGGTCAAAATAAAAAAAAAATAGGACAACATTATTCTAAATTCTCTAAATAGAATTAATTATGTGTGTTTGAACAATTATATCTCAGTTCCAGCCCCTAGTCCTTGCCATCTTCCACAGCCTAACTGCCACATGCTACCAACCGTTGATCTGCCCACGACCGCCGTTCTGTCCCTGCCTCCACCGGCTGGTGATCTGCATCCAGCCGTCGTTTTGTCCCTGCCGCCGCCACCGGCCGCATGAATCCTATGAACATTCCTAGAATGGATTCTTAGCTAGTTTTATGCCGCCCGGACTGAGCGGAGCTCCGCCGTCGCCAGCGCTGGATTGTCCCACCGCTACCCGACTGACCCGCCACCAACGAACTGATTTGGTTGCCCAGGGGAACGAGGGAAATTAGTTAATTAGATTAGGGGTATTAAAAGTAAAAACTAATGTTTTGTCCTATTTGTGAAAGATTTAGGTTTTAATCTTTTTTTGTGAAATTATGTTTACATTTAGAGGGTGTTTGGATCTGATTCTTAAAACGGATTCTGCTTCTAAGCAGAAGTTGTAGTGTTTAAGTGAAAGTGCATAAGTGATTCTGGTGCTCTAATTTACTCCTAGAATCAGGTTTTTTAGAAGCTGAGGGAAACCAACTTCTTTAAACTGCTTCTGCTTCTGCTTTGAAAAAGAAGCATAAGCAGAATCAGTTCCAAACACCCCCTTAGTCTTATTTAGGGTAATTGCTAATTAGAATAATAACAAGGTACAAAATCAATCAATTAAATTAAATATTGAAATTACAGTGTACATACCAAATTTTCTCTTGTAATTCCGTACATTAATACTATCGTATCATACAATTAAAAAAACAACATTTCTCTCTCTTTCTTATCACGGTTTTATATAATTTGGGCAACTTTTCTCAATATAATATCAATTACATTGTCTACATCTAGACATTCTTATTGATACTGTGGGGAAGAACTTATCATAAACATATAAGACAATTGAATTAAGGATATAAGTAATTTGCTTAGTAATATCTATTTGTATATCTCTTTTATGTTCACATGTGTATCATACATATTGTGTTATTGGAGATGCTCTAAGTGCTCTTCAAAAATCTAGAAGTGTGTGTGTGAGTATATGTTTTTTAATTCTAGTGATCCATACATAGGTTCTCAAAAATATAGATCAAAGAAAATTTGAAAAACTGAAAAACTAATTTATAATCCATCGTAAATGTTAATGGCATCGAGATTAATTTATTCAGATTTAGCATAATAATAATACTACCCCAACTAATTAAAGTTGTATTCAAATCTCAGCACCCACCCTCAAACAACGTTTTGCTTCCTGACAGAAATATTTTCAAGTTTTTCACTTTTCTGAAAAACTGAAAAATATAAAACAGTAAAGCGTGATAATCGAAAAAAATTGCTAGAAATTTGAAGAAAGGAAAATAGGAAAGGTTGTTTACCAAATAATTTTCCAAATAATTTTCCTTAATGAATTGGACAAGAGAGTTTTACTTTTTTTCGTAATAAATCCGCGGAAGTTGTAGTGCCGCTGTAATGAATGTGCCTGCCTACTTATGCCTAGTCGTGGACTCGGTCCTGCTCCGGTTTTTGTTCCGGTCTGGTCCAATCAATGACTTGGTAGTCTTTGTCCGGTTTGATTAACGAACCTGACAGTCCATACCCCATTTTGATCTCTATGAAAGTGAATAGTTTTAAAAGAGTCATTACGTTGTCAATGAGTAGAGAATAAGAAAAAGAATAAGGGCCTGTTTATTAACTGAGAAGTTTCATGTTTTCTATTTCTGTTTTTCGTTCTCCAATTTTCTGTTTTTATTTTTCAGTATTTTTATCTCCAATTTTCTGTTTCTTTTTTTTAGTTTTCCATTTTCAAATCTGAAAACATGCTCATCAATTTTTTCATCCAGTTATGTGATCATCCAGAAGGCTGAGGACACGTTTACTTCACGGGTTACTAAATGGTGCTTATCAATGTTCTAAAAGGCGCTAGGCGCTAGTCGGGCGGCTAGGCGGGGTGGCTAGGTGAGGACTAGTCGGAGACATATAAATTGCATTTTTATCTATGTTTTTGCATAAATATGATAAGAAATATTGTATTCTTATGTGTATAAAATACATATATACACATACATATATAAATAATAATAAAATTAAGGTATATATACAAACATATATAGTCTTTATCTTAATTTACAACTTCATTTCTTTATACCCGGGGCTAAAGTTAAATGACTTATATCGCTTAGAAAATTTAAATTATAAAGCAAAGTAATGTTCGGCGAATCTAGATGACCTAGGTGGCAAATTAGGCGGTCTAGAAGAGCAACTAGGCAACATAGGTGGCCGAATAATTCACCTTGCCGATAAACCAATTAGTCGGAGCGCCTAGGCGGGGACTAGTCGTACGCCTAGAACGATTTTTAGAACAGAGGTGCTTATTAAGACCCGCGTTAATGAGCAACACATAAAATAAACAATGTTGTAAAATCATGTTTACTTCAAAAGATTTAAAACACCGTTTAACGTCCAAAATAACCCTACACATATATAGACACACAAACATTCATGAACACAAATATAATATGTGGGGTCGATCACCTCGTACGTGTACCCATAGTCCTATACCCCTAACCTCTACCCCGCCTCTATACCTCGTACCCCCACCCTACACCCTATACCCAATTCCACACCCTTGACCCTACCTCTACCCTTACCAGGATCTTACACTCTACCCATACTCCCCTACAACCCTTCATACCCACCCATACCTACTCGTAGGGGTCGGGGTAGGGAAGGTATGGGTGGGGTGGGGTAAGGGGTATGGTCGGGGGTGGGGTGGTAAGGTCTAAGGGTAGGGGGTGGGTGGGGGTAGTGGGTGAGTTAGGGTCATGGTTAGAGGTAAGGGTATTGAGTAGGGTTGGGGTAGGGAGTTGTGGTAGAATGGCGGTACGAGGGTGGGGGTAGGATGGCGGTAGGGTGGGGCCAAGGTAGGGGCATGTGGTAAGGGGTAAGGTAGGGGTAAGGGGTAATATATGAGGGGTGGGGGTAGGGTAGGGTGGGTCGGGGTGGGGTCGAGGTGGTAGGGGGTGGCGGTTAGGGTAGGGTGGATCGGGGTGGGGCCGAGTTAGGGGCATGTGGTAGGGGGTGAGGTATGGTCATTGTATCGAAAAAGGGTACGCGGGGTGGGGGTTGGGTGGGTAGGGGTAAGGGGTGAGGTACAAGGATGGAGGTACCGGAATGGAATCAACGTCGGAGCGGGATCGGACCCACCACTAAGTGTAAGTATTGATAACCGCTTTCGCGGCG